AAAAAAAAAAAAAAAAAAAAAAAAAAAAAAAAAAAAAAAAAAAAAACGCAGCAATGTTGTGACGGACAGTATGTCTGCATGTGATGACGGAACAAAAGCCGCTGGTTTGGACCGCTGGTCCGAACCGTGGGTTTGTGGACCTGGTGCATAAATAATGGCAGCGGTACAAACGATCGCGGGTTTGTGGACGTGGTACATAAAGGCAGCGGTACAAGAGGACAGGCACAGAAACCATTCCGTTTCTGCTTTCTTTTTTTTTTTTTTTTTTTTTTTTTTTAAGGGCGACGGACTTGAGATAATATTATCATTGAGCTGACCGGCCCCACGCAATTCATTAGTAGTTGGTTTTTCTCATCAAGTTCCATCATCATCTGCATTCGAACACAGGTCTGTATTTCAACAGTTCATGGGTGTACCCACTGAGCTAGGCTCTTGGGTGCTTGTTTTTTTTGTCCCTGCCTCCATCTCTGCTTGGTCTTTTAGACCTGGCTCTTTGATATGATAGATATCCTATATATTTCTTGCGGGACCATGGAAAAGGGATGTTGTATGCCCGTCGACGAAAGGGACCTCAGTATCTATACCTGGCCATTCGGACATAATGTGCGTAGTGGGGTCCAAGCACATGGCAAAGAAAACCATTGCATCATATATACTGTAATAATCAGTTTAATCAACTTTAATGTTGTTGTAGACGTAGGGTCTAGCTCAGTTGGTACAGCCTTGAACTGATGAAATACAGACCTGTGTTCGAATCCAGATGATGAAACTTGATGAATGAAATAGGGGCGGTCAGCCCAATGCTGATATCTCAAGGCGGTCACCCTTTTTTTCCGCCTTAAATAAAAATAGGTAGGGTCTAGCTGCACTACTTACCAAATGTGGAACACAGCGAGTGTACCTTCAGCTAAAGGGGGGGGGGGCAGGGGCAGGAAACACTAGCAGGCTACGTATTTTCTTTGTCTTCTCTTTCTGTACTCGGACGCCGCCATGTACTGGTTGTTTAAACCACCAGTACACTTCTCAGCCATTTTTTCAAAGTTGCGGCAGGGATGCTGCTCCATTGGAAGCGAAATGGCTGGCCGCACTAGCTAGAGGCCTGGGCACCACGCCAGCCAAAAGGAGGCCTGCACGGGTTTATAGTTTTCTT